TCTGTTCTTTTTTTTTTAAAGTCATATTCCTTTCAACTCCGTCACATTGATCCAGTTGATCCTATCTGCTGACTGCTTCAATCAGGAAATCCATTTTTCATCTTTTAAATATTTTCTTCCTGATCACAGAGCTGTATGCATTTATTAGCTAAAAATGACAAAGGCTTTTTTTCCTTTTTTCAGGGATGGGGGCTAGCTCTAATTATTTTCCACTATGATTGACATCTGTTGAAGTTCCCCATCTAGGCAACACATTCACACTCAATCCTTTTAATAAACAAAGACATGTTTTTATATTAATTGAGATAGAAGAAATGGAGGTTTGAAAGAACAGACCTGGAAGTGAACCACCAGTTTTTGCCTTTTAAGTTAATTAAAAGCAGATACATAAAACTTTTCTGTGTGATTTGCTTTATTCCATTTCATTTCATTTTCAGAATGGTTCTGTGAAGAGAACCCACACCAATAGTGAGTAAATGTTTTAAATGAAAAGAAACAACCTACTTTTTTCTATTGCAAAACAATGCTTTTTCATTCTAGAAAAATGTTTAACAATAAGTAAAAAAGATAATCATCCATAATTCCATCATCTTCCTGTGCTCCTGATATGGTCTCTACCAGCCACATGTGGCTATTGAAATTAACTGAAATTAGAAAAAATTAAGAGTTGAATTCTTCTCTCACACTGCTACATTTTAAGAACTCAGCCACATGGTGCCTAGTGACTACTGTTTTGAACAGGACAGGTTGTAGAACATGTCCATCATTGTAGGAAATTCTGTTGAATAGCGTTGAGGGGGAAGCTTAATTTCTTGGTATTTATCTTTCTAGAACTTTGGGTGTGTGTATTTTTGCTAATATACAATGGGACCATACTGTTACCTGCGTCTTTCACTTAATAAATGGGGAACAGATCTTTAAGTCCCTAAGTCTTCTTTGGGGAGGGTTTTCAATAGTCTTTATTATGGAAAATTTCAAGCATAAAGAAAGTAAAATAATTTCAATAGCTAGTAGCTCATGGCTAACATCGTTTTATCAATACTACCACCCATTTTTTTCTCTTTCCCAGATTTTGAATAAAATCTCAGACATTTCACTAACAAATCATTCAGTATGTATCTCTAAAAGAGTCAATCACAATATCTCATCTCCTTAAACTATAAAATTATGTAGTCAGTATTCAAATTGCCCCGATTATATCAAATGTGCTTTTTAAAAATAGATTCTTCAAATTAGAATTCATAGAAGTTCCATTCATTACAGTTGGCTAATAGGTCTCCTGAGTCTCCTATAAGTTCTTCATTAATTTTGAAAAGTTTCCACTTGCAGTTTGTCGAACACATCACTTTTAATAACAGCATCATTATTTTTGTTTAACCACTTTATTGATGAATATTTGATTCTAATTTCTTGCCACCCTAAATCTAGCTCTGTTTTGGCTAAATGTTTGCATGCATTCTTAATTATTTCCTCAGGATGAATTCCCAGAAGTAAAAATGCTGATTCACAATGGGCAGATATATTTTTGAGGCTCATTCAATGAGTCAGGTATTGGGGATATTACAGTCAAAAAAATAAAAGATAGATGTACTTCTATTTTCTTGACATCTTGCTTCTTGGAATGGAGAAGGATGGGACTGAATACTTTATAGGTGGCCCTCGTGAGATTGTTGGAGGATAGCGCCTCACAGTGTTTAGAGACCACTCATCAAGGCAGTGACATCTAAGTCAAGGTTTGACGCAGAAGGAGAGTTTGGCAGTGTGAAGATCTAAGGCAGCGCTTTACAAACTTTGGTCTGTAAAAGATGCACTATTGAGGCCCAGGCTTACTGATGATGCATAGGGCCTGATTCTCTGTGTTTTTACCTAGCTCCTCAGGTGCTTCCAAAGCCAACCAAAATCTGGGAACCTCCATCTTGGAGAGAAACATTTCATCACAATAGGAGAGAATTGAGAGTGCTCTTAGGGCCCAGAAAGATTTTAGTTATTGCCAGAGCGCCTTCCAGAAAAGTACCCACCCTTCATCTGCTGTAGAGGAAAGTGTTTCTTTCTCTGTATCCTTGACAGTATTGGGTACTAGTCAATATGAAAAAAATCCGATCATCTACCCAATATTACAGATGGAGAAACCAATTATCTCTAATTTCTGGTCAGAAGTCTTGACCAAAGTGAGAACTGAGAGAGTTATTGTGCTTAAAAAGTTCTTTGTTTAGCTGGGTCTATACCCAGCCAGTTTTATCTGTTTTGAGTTGAGGAAACAGCACATGTCACCACGTGACACACTACATACTTTTCCTTATTCTATTTTCTCCTGCTAGAATATAAGCTCTATGACGGCACAGATTTCTGTTTTCTTTCACTGGTGTAATCCTCAGGCACTACGTGCTTGATATTCAGGGGTCACTTGTTACCTGTTGAATAAATAAATGGCCACCTTCATTCAACTCCTGTTTTAGTTTCCAGCCAGCAATATATTTTAGGAAGTTGCAACATTAATTTTTCTTTATGGTCAAAGAATTGGGAATAAAAAATTAACATGGAGTTAAGACTAGTCTCGAGTATTTTCCTTTCTATGTAAAATCTAAATTATCTTGTCACTCCTCTATTATCCATAAATATCAGGAGTAGTGATCTTGTAAAGGTCTGAAAAGTAAAATAATTGAATAAGTTCTAGAATAAGTGGCATAAGGAAAAACCACATTATTGATGTGAAGGTGAGGGCCACAACTCCAGATTTTTTACTAGTGAACAATTAGAATATAATATAGCTGTAGCACACTGCTGTGGAGATAATACGGAACATATAATAAAGTCTTAAAGGAGATTTGTAGTTTGGTATTTGTAATTACCCTAGAAAAGCTATGGTCGCTATTTTGGGTACTTGTTGGCTATTTAGCCCTTTTGTAGAGTTTGGTGTTTCTAGCATATTTTATATATATATATATATAAAATATATATTGTTTGCTAAGTATTAGGCACAGTTCTAACTGCTTTTCATGTATTGTCTTATAATCCTATGAGGCTTAGGTACTAGTATTTACCCTGTTTTCCAAATGGATCTTATTGAAGCTCAGATTAAGGATCCTGTCTGAAGTCTAATAATTAGTCATGCTAGATTAACTTGAAGAACTTGCTCTTGTAACCAATATCTGCTGAAGGTTGTGGTAAAATACACACAACCCAGGGCTTGAATTACTGCTTTCAGTGTGAGTCTTGTCTAAAAGCTTGGGCATTGGCAGAAGTAAGATTTGGGTTGAGATCTGGCTCTATTACTAGCCAGCTAAATTCACGCAATATATGCTCTAAACCTCAATTTCCTCAATTGTAAAGTGCAAATAATACCTCTGCTTCTTAGGGTTGTGAGGATTAAAGGAATTAAAGTAAGAGCCCATCACTTGAGTGAATTACTTTAGCTACTGGGTTACCTTTCTACCCCCACAAGGTAATTAGTATGTATTGATCTTTTCACTCAGCCCACTTCAGAGTTCCAATTTTTTTTTTCAGAAAACTGTTACTCCGATTGAAAAAAAACAAGAGTTAAAAATGAGATGCATTGTGGGGCGACTGGGTGGCTCAGTCAGTTGAGTGGCTGCCTTTGGCTCAGGTCATGATCCCAGGGTCCTGGAATAGAGCCCGGCATTGGGCTCCCTGCTCGGTGGGGTGCCTGCTTCTACCTCTCCTTCGGCCTGCCACTCTGTCTACTTGTACTCTTTCTCTGTCAAATAAATTAAAAAATCTTAAAAAAAAAAAAAAAAAAAGATGCGTTGTGGTTCTGGGTACCAGTCACTTTCACCAATAAGAGCATGGCACAGTAAACTGCTGAGTGATAATTCGTATGTGCATTTGCCCATGCATTTTCACCTCTATGACCTTCAACCATGCAGATCATTTGTACATGTTTAAATGCTGTAGTATTATCATCAGTCCTTAGAAGACTGAAGTTAATGAGTTTTTATGTAGTTGTCAAGTGTCCCAGCTGTCTAAGGTCAAAGCCGTTAACTGTGTGACCTTGGGCAAGTTACCTCAGTGTGCCTCAGTTAAAATTTTGAAAAAACGGGGCGCCTGAGTGGCTCAGTGGGTTGAGCCGCTGCCTTCAGCTCAGGTCATGATCTCAGGGTCCTGGGATCCACTCCCGCATCAGGTTCTCTGCTCAGCAGGGAGCCTGCTTCCCCCTCTCTCTCTGCCTGCCTTTCTGCCTACTTGTGATCTCTAATAAATAAATAAATAAATAAATCTTTAAAAAAATTTTTGAAAAACGACTTGGCACGTCTTGAGATTCTCTTAAGGTATTATTAGTCTCTTAAAAAAAAAAAAAAGTCTCCGACGTTACTTCCTGGTACTTGGGAAACTATCTCCAAGTCGTGGGCAGCAGGGTCCCCCTGCTGGCCACATCCTTTACATGGCCTCAGGTGCCAGTGGGCTGGGCAGGCCATTTGCACCTTAGGTGGCATTTCTCATTTACCGTGAATGAGGAAGGAGCGTGTTAGTTTAAACTCCCTAGCCCCAGCTAGTCTCCCAGGTGTGAAGGGAGTCGGCGGAGAGAGGACTTCAAGCTTCCAAACATTTCGGGGAGAAAGGTTCAGAAATAAAATTTTTCCCTTTTTGTGCGTCCAGTTTAGTATTTTTGCTAACGAACGTCCTGCATTGGGGCGCCTCTATACCTTTCAAGGCACAGCTTCGATTTCTAGCGTCTGGGTCTGGGCATTTAGGACGCCCAGTTTCAACAGACCTTCCTTGCAGCCCCGCTGGCTTTCTCGAAGTCTCAGTCCTCACCCACCGCCCGATCCTTCCCGTCTTGAATCCCACTAAATCTAGGACCCAGCGGCTGCCGAGCAGCCCTGGCCCCGCCTCTCCGCTCATCAGCGCCCGCGGATTGGCTCCGGGCAGCGCGGCCCCGCCCCCGCCATGGCCGCTGCCCGCCGCCTGGGTCACTAAGTGGCTGCCAGGGTGCTGGTGTCTGCTGTCGCTCCCCTGCTGCTCTGTCTGCGGGTGGGTGGTGCATGGGTCGGCGAGGCGGGCCCTCATGCTCTCGGGCCATGGCGCGCCTGGCCGCTGTGCGCTCCCACTACTGCGCGCTGCTGCTGGCCGCGGCGCTGGCCGTCTGTGCTTTCTACTACCTCGGCTCGGGCCGGGAAACCTTCTCCAGCGCCACCAAGAGGCTGAAGGAGGCCCGCGCCGGGGCTCCCGCCGTGCCCTCGCCGCCCGCGCTGGAGCTGGCGCGGGGCTCCGTGGCGCCGGCCCTGGGCGCCAAGGCCAAGAGCCTGGAGGGCGGCTGGCCGGGGCCGGTGGACTATCACCTGCTGATGATGTTCACCAAGGCGGAACACAACGCCGCGCTGCAGGCCAAGGCCCGCGTCGCGCTCCGCTCCCTGCTGCGCCTCGCTAAGTTCGAGGCGCACGAGGTGCTTAACCTGCACTTCGTGAGCGAGGAGGCCAGCCGCGAGGTGGCCAAGGCCCTGCTGCGGGAACTGTTGCCGCCAGCCGCCGGCTTCAAGTGCAAGGTGAGCGGGGCTGCGGCTGGGGGCTCCCGGTGGAAGGCCCACCCTATACATTCATCTGTCCCCCCCCTCCCATTGCCCCAGCTTTGCCCGAAACGTGGAAACGTGTTTCTCGGTGTGCTGGAGGCAGCGTTCGGGAGGCGTGCCCAGGAGCCAGAAGCGCTCAGCCGGTGCGGGAGTGCTGCGGGCATGGACTCACTACCCTGACCCGTGCCCCACCCGTTAAGTCCCTCTTCTCCCGAGATTTGGCTCGCCCCCTCTCTGCTGGCGTTGCAGGATTGTGCACTACCTTCGCAGTCTGCACTTTTTATTCTCAATCTTTGACTTTTGAGGTTGGAACGGGTCGTTTGAAGGCAGTAGTCATCTGATGCGGAGAGTCTGTGGCCAGGGTCTTAGTGAGGTCGCGTGAATTGAAGTTGCAGTGATATTTCTCGTATTAAAGTCAGAACTGCCTAAGCCCAAACCCAGACATTGTGAACCACCTCATCCCCTCTCTGTACCTTCTTCTTCCCTAGTCTCAAGGGTCACGAACCCATTTAGAGAATCCACCAGTTTCTCTGAGGGAGGAAGCAGAAGTTCTAAGAGGTACAGATACGATCTGGGGAGAGCACAGCAGAGCTAGCCACCCTGTCCCAGGCTGGACCAACCTGCTTCGTTGGCAGCTCTGCTACCACCTCTCTCCCTCATCTCCCATGATCTCCCTCCCAGCGCTGCTTGTCAGAGATTAGCTTCCTGGCTTAGTGTTAATTGCTTCAGTCAAGTTGCTAGCCTCGTTTTGACCTCATAGTTGCACAGAGGGCATCCAAGGTCTGATTTTTGGATAAGACTAGGAGGTGATCTTAAAGGATGGAGACTGATAGTGGGGGAAGGGGTAGTGAGGTAAGAGTAATGTTCCATGTGTTTGTGTCCAGTGAGTGATGGGGGAGCTGCTGCCCGGATCCTGCAGGGTTCAGGGGTCTCTGGCAGCTCAAGTCCCAACTTCCAGGAGGGCTGCGTTGTGGGCCTGGCCCTCCTCTCCAGCCTTGCTTTTTGTCCTCCTGTGTGCACCTTAGATCTTGAGTGTGCTGAATGTGTCTTTACATAAGATGTATTCTCTGCCCAGGATGTCCTTCCTTTCCTCCTGGGCCCTTGGCCACTCTTTCCTTAGCTTTCACCGTCCCTGGAATGTCCCTAGACTTGGGGACCGTCTGTGCCCAGCCTTCCACAGCTTTCCATTCCTGCTTCTCCTCATAGCCCACAAAGTCTGTCTCTTGCCCAGAACAAGTAAGCCTGTCTGGAGCATCCACCATAGTCAGGGAAGGGCACCCGGGCCTGGACTTCATGCTGTAGGAGACCCAGAATCCAGGTTCTTTTTTTTTTTTTTTTTTTTTTAATTTTTTTTTTTTTAAGATTTTATTTATTTATTTGACAGAGAGAGATCATAAGTAGACAGAGAGGCAGGCAGAGACAGAGAGAGAGAGGGAAGCAGGCTCCCTGTCAAGCAG